GGGCTGCCTTTCAATGACGCCAGGCTCCTGAAGGCCGGAATGGCTGATTGTGGGCAGTCATATTAAATATGTAATTCCAGAAATGTGATCAAACTGATTTCCTGCTAGAGCGCTGAAGTCATTCCCACAGGGGAGCTGGAGGGTCCTTCTGTTTCCCACTTCTGATTCTGTGTTAGGTTAATTTTTTTGAGAGATAGATTTAATTGACCCAGTCTTTTCAATCGAAGAAATTGATACATTAACAAGTCAGATGGTGGTGGTAGCAGGGAAAGTAATTAAAAAGTCTAATTTTTCTCTCCAAAAGCACCAGTCCCTAAATTAGACTGGCCCCTCTGGTCCCAAAAGAAGACAAAGTTTCAAAAGAAATTTATTCAAAGGCCAACACTGTCTTCTGTATGCTCAGGTGTCGGAAGGAATATTTCACTTAGTGAGACTGTTGTGAGTTTGGTGGGGGTGGAGGAGGAATGGTGGTCTGAACTTCATTCTTCGGGGATGACTTAACAAAGACCAACTGGACTCCTTAAAATAAGAAAAGGTTATTCTCCCATGGTTCTGGGGCCAGATCTTTGAAATCAAGCACCCGTCAGGCCCATGTTGCCTTTAAAATTCTGGAGGAGGCACCAATCCATACCTTTCTTTTAGCTTGTATTCCTGCCAGCGTCCTTGGTGTTCATTGGCATCCAAAGCATGGCCGCAGTCTCTGAATTCTTAGTCACAGGATGTTTGTCTGGTGGATATCTGTGTCTGCGGTTTCTCTTATAAATCCAGAAGCCACATGACATCTGGGCCCAGTGAATCCCCATGTCATTGCTTTAACTTGATTACAGATGTAAGATATTGTGCTAAATAAAGTCTCATTTACAAGTACTGGGGCCTTAGGACTTGAATATATCTTTTGGGGTAACACAATGCAACCCATAATAAGGACCATGGTCTGAAATGGAAAAGTACATAAGCATATAAGATTGTTTACAGTGCCAAGTGGCGAAATCCACATGCTTCCTGGGAGGTGAATTGCCTACCCTGCCAGGAATGGTTTCAATTCCGAGACATCAAATGTTTGTTCTACAGATCGCCAAGGTTTTAGACATCATCCTGATCATTCAGCTCCAATGCTAGGTCATTCAGGAAGATCTCTCTATGGCCCAGTTTGAAATAACTTTGTGATGTGACAGAACACACAGCATGGGATGAGAGAATCTGAGGTTTTTGAGTTCACCCCTCTGTAGCTTAAGAGCCCTACGAATGAATTCCTTCTGCTTTCCACTGACATTTCTGTAAACCTGGAAAATAGAATAATTTCCTACCGCTGTAATTTCATAATGACATTTAAATGAGAAAAAACGCATGGGAGAGGATTTTGTAAAGTACCACAGTTTTGAAAAACAACAAATGAAAATACCCTTTGTCTTGGTCACCTGATTGGAAGAATCTTCAGGCGTTCTGTTTAAAATATTGATCCAGGGCCTGGGATATAGTTCAGTCAGAAAAGTGTTTTGCCCCGCAAGTATGAGAACCTGAGCAAAATGCCAGAATGATAGCCCATGCATATAAAATCCCAGCACTGGAGAGGCAGCAACAGGAGGATTATTGGGACCCAGTGGTTAGTCAGTCTAGTCTAACTGGTGAGCTCCAGACCAATGAGAGAGCCTGTCTCAAAAGATGTAGACAGTGTTCGTAAGTGTGACAATCAAGGTTGACCTCTGACATTCACACACATGCACTTGCACACACATGAATACACTGGTGCATACAGACATCCATACAGACGGTAATAAAATAAAACACTTAGTTGATTCTTTATCTCCAGAGTGGGCAAACATGAGAGTTAAAGTTAGGAAGAGCGCCATCTGTCTCTGTGACTCTAGAACCCAAGGCCATCAGGCTTCCTTATTCTTAAAGCATCCTATGGGACCCGATGAAGGACATTTGTAGCTGAGTTCCAACTCAGAAGCTAATCCCTCAGCCAAGCCCATAACTAAGTTCACAGACATAAGAGCCAATGATAAAAGGAAGTACGGGGAGGAAAAAAATCTGTCTTCATATGTCCTCCCTGTTTCAAAGCCTTTGGAGAGGAAAGTGCAGCTCTCGGCTCCCCATGATAAAATTAGCGGGCTATCGTCATTTAAGACAGAGGCCAGAGAGAGCTGGAATCTGTTACTGAATGCCACTGAAGGGAATATATTTTATACAACATAAAAGGCCCGGCGTAAATGAGAAGAAATATTGGAGGGCTTCAAAAAGGTAGGTCAAACTTTTTCCTCAAGCAGATAATTACAGGGTGGGGGTGAGTAAATCTTATTAGCCTCTTTCTACCTCGTCTCTTCCCATAAAACACTAGCAAGAAGGAAGCCACTCTCCACTCAGGGTGGACAGCTTGTCTGAGAGAAGACTGGCTTGTCGCTGTCAATCACATCACCCGCGGGTGGCTTGTTGATGCTGCTCTCGCTGCCCCCACCTATCCACCACGCTGCAGCTTAAGCCAGTCAACCGAACGTGAAGTTCCACAGTACGCTGACCAAGACTCCATGGTCTCTTTCAATCTGAAGAACTACCCCTTCAGGCCGCAATGTTCCAGTCAAATTTCTCTGCCCATGTTTGAGGACTTAAAATTAATGAACTTGTTAACATTTCTTAAAATGTCTTTCCTGGCAGATGAAAGGTATGGATTTATCACCTATGAGCCTGCTGGCCTTTTTGATTCATAGACATGTAGGCTGAACCCCCACAAAACACCGTTGGGAGCTAGGAGTCTGGCCCTAGGTCTGCCATTAGCTTTCTCTGTGACAGGTCTCAGGGTGAATCTTCATTGTCACTCACTGGCAAAGAGATTTGCTGCCTACAGAATTATTTATCTGGCCTATTAACTCTGAGATGTCAGGGACCAGTCTTCCGGACTTCCGAATTTGTATAGCTCCAGCAACCGGCATGGGGGCTAGCCACACAGCTACGGAGATGGAAGTGTAAGTCTTGATGGAGGCCATGCAGTCTCCCTGAGTCCCTCAGAATTAAATACGGCCAAACGACAGAAAGGATCGGAAAGCATCACTGTCCCTTCCTCAAGGAACCACCAGTCCTTCTCCCATGAATCAACACTAATAATGGCGCTGATGGCGACACCTTGGTCCAGCATTTGGACACTGATTGACCTATGGTTTGAATCTGCTCAACAAAGAAGGGAAATCATAAGGTTCTGGGCCATGAGGACAGTTTGAAAGAGATCTTAAGAAACATCTTGATCTATATTTTGCCACAGTTATCTCAGCCTTTCAATTTACTGACAAGGAAGGTGGGGCTCAGAGACTGGAAGTGGGTTTACCAAGTGTAAGTTGTAGGTAATTGGGTCCTCAGAAGCCCCCAGGGCTTTCTCCCTTTGATCTGCAAACTCTTTCAATGGCATCCATAGGGAACTAATAGTTGCTGTCTATGACACATTTGAGCTAGACTTTTAGACATTCTAAACTTCATTAAAGTTTTCCTATAGAGACTGTGAATGAATCTGAGCAGGAACTCTGAGTGTTATCTGAAGACCAGTTATACTATATATCTGGTGACCTTGGGGACAACACCAACCACACAAAGGACGAGCTTCTCAATTATTTACAGATACTCGGTCTTATCATAGGACGGCATTTGTGTGTGTGCCTGGTTTAAATAAAATCAAGAAGCAACCTGTATTTGGAATCTCCCAAAGAACCACTGAGGCTTCCCTCTCCCTAGGGATACTTAAGAATGGCAAACAGCCTCTCAGCTCACAGTAGAATCCCAAACTGCCCACGGGGGTTTTATGCATTTCTTTCTTTCAGTTTGAAATGAAAGGTGCCATTATTAGAAGCCAAGACTAACTGTGTAATAGGTGAGGGGAGGGATGGCAGGTTTCTGACTGGAGGGTTTCTACAGGGGGTGGAACATCTCTGTTAGGTGTGCTTTAAATAGGTTAGGCCCAAGGGCAGAGACTAAGAAGCAGGAATAGGTAAATATGCCCAGAAGGGCATCTAGAACTCAGCGCTGTACTGGGTTCATAAATACTTAATTGAATTAGGTCTGATGAGAGAATTCTGTATCAGGAAGCCTTCTGCTTCCATTCATCATTCATAAATAAGCCTTTAGCAGTATCTTCCAGAGAAGGAATAAAATGGGGGCATAAACATAGCATATTACCTGTCCTTGAGGGACTTCTACCAAGAGAGCTGAAGAAATGAAGGTGCTCCCCAGTAAAGTCACAATTCTCCTATAACCCTGATGGTCCAATGGCAGAGCCCTCCCCCCCCTCCCCCCCCCCCCCCCCGCTATAGCAGGTTTTCAGGCTGGAGCTCTGAGAATGAGTCAACTTCCTGAGGACTCACAGTACAGCAGCTCACAGGTGGAGTTGGTGGCCTCTTGGGGGAAAGAAGACCCATAAGCAAGGAATCCCAGCTTTGTGGCTAGAGGGCCCACTGTGAAGATGAGTTTCTGCATCTGTAAACACTAGAACTAGACCAGTTCTCTTGACCTCTGAGGCTGTTGCATCATCAAATGAGCAGAGATTATGACAAATAACCTGTCTGAGAACAGAAGTTAGCCAAATATGATGGAGTCACTGAAGGGACCCTGGAAGACCTGTAACATTCCTAATCACAATCCCTTCTTAGGAAATCATGGTCTATAGAGATGCCAAAGTCAGAACTTTAAAGCCAAAGCTACAATTAGATATAAATAAATTGAAGGAATGCTGAAGGGATACCAGGACTCCATGTACCAGGAAGGCTTGGAGGACGGAATATGGGAACCACAGATCCCTTAGCTTCTTCCAGGACTCACAAGCAATATACACATCTTAGTTGAATGGTCAGATGGTATTCTTGAGCATCCTTGCGGGACAGAGGGTACAGTGGTATGTGGCCTGCTATTGGAGACTGAGTGACTCCCAAATAACTAATGATTTCAAATGGAATCTCAGAGTTTCCGTAACCAAACAATAGTGATGGTGTATCACAGACAACTGTCAAACATACACTTACCGTATCGACTGCGGTGGGACAGAAAAGGAAAGGAGTCTTTCATTGTCCAGGTCAGATTCCACACAAAGTTATCTGGAGGAGAAGGCATTCCTGGGGGTGACTCCACGGAGCTGTGACCTGGACACAAAAACAAAGGAGAGAACACTGACCCTTGTGTTTAGGATGGGTCTTCGAGATGTCATTCGATATCGGTTCAAACGAAAGTTCATCGCAGGCTTTCATGGCACTCAGCAGAAAGATGAACAAAAGAGGACCAAGCAGGGCACAAACAGACTGAGCTGATTGCTGCACTGTGTTGTGCATTTTCTGTCAAGCAGAGCCATATCTGAGGAGCCTGAATACTGTGGGAAGTCCATGCTAAGGCCCTCTGGAAGATGAACTAGAAGCCAGGCAGCTTAATGGCTCAGTCTAATAGCTCTATCCGAAGTCTGTTCTGCTGGTAAGAATTTGTGCAACTTTAGAGGGAACTTCGATTCATCTCTTTCAAATAATGTCCTCCATCCCCACACTTGGGCTTGCAACTTCATCTGATGTTGTTTGCTTGGGTTATTGCCTTATCAATGAGAGGGTTGAAATTGCACTCAAAAGTTACGAGTACTTGACAATTATGCTATTTTCAGGGAGGAGAGAAAAAAAAAGCTGTGTTATGGGTTTCCCACATCCAAGAGGCCAGGGAGCCACAGAGGACGAATGTTTCTGATTTGCATGAGTGAAAAAAGGGATGAGAGAAAAGAGCAAAGTGGCATTAGCTCTTTATTTAACAGAACCTCGAGTGGGTTTTGTGGCGAAAAGTCATTACAATCTGTCTACAACGCAAATGAGCAGACTGTGCATGCTCATCCACCGTTCTTCCCTGAAAATCCCCAAATCCATCACTATTTGCTAATGTTTTATGGTGGGCAAAGCTTTTCGTGTTAAAGGAGGAAGGGTTGGAGAATGAGTTGTTTCGTGGATAGATGTGTGGTGAGGCTGGGAGAGGGGAGAAGGGAAGGTGGGAGCTGGGGCTTCTGTGGTTTCCAGGGTGCAAAATCCTGCTCTGTCCTTTAGTCCTGTGGCATGACAGTCACAGCACCGTGACATTTCGAGCTGGGTATCACCCTCTCCATTTTTTTAGGCACAACAACCGAGAATGAAAGGGGCAAGTGAGAGAATCCAGACCAGAGCACAGACCGGGCTCTGCCCTGAGTTAGCTGACCTGCAGCGGCTCCAGCCAGCTGTAATGGTAGGGTAAAGGGGAGGAGTCAGCAATAGGAGGAGGAACCAAAGCCCTTCCCCAGTTTCTGTCTTGCAGCCTCTTAGGCACCTTCTGGGGCAGCAGCAATTCAGGACTGCAGACTGTCTCCAAAACAAGGCAGCACGAACAAAAACTCAGGCCGGGAAGATTGCTCAATCAATAGCGTGCTGGCCACGTGTAATGTTTGAAAGCAGCGTCCCTGCTCTCCTTTCCTTTCAGAATCGACCCCATGTCACACACTTTGAGAATCTCTGGCCCAGATGCCCATAGCTGTCTTCTGTTGTTACATCCTCCATTCTTTCTCTAGGCTCTACGGAAAAGCTGACCACGGGGCCACACACTCCTCAAACTCTAACTGGTACTTTCTAAGAAAAATGATCTCTGCCCTTCTCCCACAGAGCTGACAGGGAAGCACCGACTCCTGAGTGCCCAGGGAAGAGATCTTTCCTCTCCTCTCACATCTGGTCGATAGAAATTAGAAATGAGTTGGGAGCTACCTCTTCTTCCAGCATTTCTTTGAAATGGCCCAGAGGAAGTGCATGGTAAGGGCACTGGAGTTATGCAAGTGAGTTATAGGGAGAAGCTACCTCATCCAAGGGAACTCAAGGCTACATGAGTTCTCTTAGGGTTAGACAGCTTTAAAAAAAATCAATAATATGACTGTAAGTGATATCATGCTCTATAATGCCAGCACTTGGGATGCCAAGGCAGGAGGATTATGAACTTGGATCCAGAATAGGTATATAGGAAGACTGTCTCCAATATTAACATTGATAAATCAAGCTATAATATAGCTCATTCAATAAAGTACTTGATAGGCAAGCGTAAGAGCCTGAGTTCAGACCCCACCATCCCAATAAAGCAGGCAAATATGGTGGCATGTGCATGCTTTTCTTTTGGTTTGGTTGGGGTCTTGTTTTGTTTTGAGACAGGGTTTCACTATGCAGCCCTGGCTAGACTGGAACTTGCCATGTAGACCAGGCTAACTTCATACTTACAGAGAACTATCTGCCTCTGCCTCCTGTGTGCTGGGATTTAAGGCATAAACTACCACACCCGGACAATGGCACATGCTTATAGACCTGTCCCCAGAGAGACAGAGACAGATGACTCCAAGGGGCTTCACCTACTCAGCAAGTCACAGACTCGTGAGAGAGATCCTGTTTTAGAAAACAAGGTGGACAGCGACTGAGGAATACTGAGCTTGTCTCCAGCCTCTACATGTATCTACAACTCTTACATGTGTACCCATATACACATGCATCTTCACACATAGAAGCACACATGCACATGCATGCATGCATGCACACACACATACATGCTCTCTACAATGCCTGCCAGGGCCCCAAAAGTGCTGTTCAAGGTCGGGGGTGACTACCAAGCATGGCCACAGTGTGATGGGCCCGGGAAGATGAGGACGACCGAGTCTCTGCCGTGAATGAGTGGAGACAAAAACTGCCAACTCCGTACTGAGTCATCAGCTTCGCTCAAACTTGAAGCAATCCCAAAGCAACACCAAGACTGAGCCTCAGCAATGTTTGCAATGATGTCATTTTTCATAACCTTTCTGTTTGGGAATGGTATTTACTTCTTCCTAGATGAGAAGCATCAAGGGGGTGGGATAGAGTTTAGGAAGCACTTAGGACTCTCTGAGAGGGCACAGAATGGCAAATGACTTTTTACCTGGAAGAAGTCCAGTTAATATATTCTTTTTTTTTTTTTAAATGCTGTATCTGAAAGCATTGGAAAGGAAAGTCTCTGAGGGCTGAGTCATGACCCACAAGGAGACAAGGAGATCGCTGTGGCTTGTCTCCTCAGCTAGCACTTTACTCATTGTTAGAATCCACCAAGAACGCCAACAAATTGGCATCCTCAGAGTTGGGAACTGGAAAGAAAGCAGGATGTTTTATACTGACTTTACAGGAACTCCTAGGACTGCGGGCTCACAGGGGAGCAATGTTAATCCTAGTTCATCGAATATGCACCACTTTAGAAAACGTAGGCTAAAGCACCCTCACTGAACAGTGCAGGGCTAAGGGCCTGAAGACTTCCTTCAGAGTTCCGACCCCTTCCTGTTTTCACTCCTTGTGGGAGAGAGCTCTTAGCATAAAGAAAAACTGTGCCGTGAGAAGCAAGCCGTGTAGTTAGGAGAAGGGAGGGAATGTTAATCCCAAAAATGCAAGGAGAAAGACCATCAACCCAAATGAATTTAAGCAAGCAATTAATTAAAGCAAGCTTTTTAAAATTTGTGTACACAGGCTGCCTCCCCCTAAGACAGGGTTCAAGAGGTCAGCATTCGACATGTACAAGATACAAGTTTTTATAGCTCAGGTGTAGGGGGTTTTCAAATGGGGGATTTGGCAGGCAAATTGGGGGGTAGCTACAGGACCAGCAGAACAAGGTAGTCATAACCTTTTGAAACAAAGGCAGAGTTTCAAGATAGTTATAAAAGCTTTTGAAACCAAGGCAAGGTTGCTGTTTCCTGGAACAGGCAGTACGGAACCATTTGTAGTTAAGGTTACAGGTGGGCATCGCCCAATCCTTGAGAAACAGAGGTTTAATTACAAACAGGAATGAACCTGGTTTGTCTAGTTGTGAAGATGTGATTTAAGCTACTGGCTAAAACAGGAAGAGTCTTAGACTCTGGGGAATGAAGAGTGGAAAAGGAAAGAGAGAGAAGGGTGGGCAGGGGACGAGCTTCCATGTGTCCAAGTGAGCCTCTGATGGCCTAAGGAGACAAAGGGAAAGAAACACCCCCGGACTGGGGGATTATAGACTGAATACTGTAAGGATTTTTTTCCCTCTCTAATGATTTCCCAAGCCCTTTATTGGCTCTATGGGGAACTGAGATGGAGTGAAGACCCCGAGCTCTCGACACTGCTCTCTGTTGCCCTTGTATCACCCCCTGCCTTCCTCAGCTTAGATTCATGGCCCATCTCTTTGCAGCCTTCCTGTGCCCGCTGTCTGAATGAGCTTGCCTCTTGCTTCTTCACAGCTGCTCTGAAGTAGCTGCGTGTGGTACCGAGGAGGGAAAGAGGAATACACAATGAAGCTGACAAACCTCACTTAAGGGCACCGCCAGGAATGCCCAGGACCATGCAGAAACCCCACTATATTCCCTGACCAACCCAAACCACTCTAGCATAGTTATTTCCACATTAGCTTTTCAGAGCCCCCCCCCCCTTCCCTCCTGTCTTCAGCTAACAGCCTTGTTCTGTAGTAGCTCACTGAGGAAGCGGAAGTCTAGGGTCCTCCTGACCAGGAATCAGAACCTGGGTGTACTTCCATCACCCCTATTTGAAGAATCCGAGCACAATTTATCCTCTTCAGTGGTTTCGGCACCCTGCTTGGAGGTGCTCGCCTTATCCCTGAGATGTCTGCCCTTGCAACGGATACCCCTGGCTCCTGCATCTGTGATTTACCCCCTTTACAAAATACCAAGCTGATCTCAGCCACAGAAAGCATGAACCATCTTTAGGAAACAGAACAACTCCCTTGACCCCCACACTCTGCTTCAGTCACTAACATCACGACTCTGCAGCTAAATCTCTTGAGAAGTTGGTCTCCACAGTCTTCCTTCCACCTTCCCTAAAATGTAGTAAAAAGCACGATTGTGTTGCTTCTCCAAGTCAAGGTCACTGTCAACTCCAGTCTTGGTCTTACAGACCTTCTGTGCAACGTTTGACCCAACTGACGCCTCCCTGCTTCTTGGACTTCTCACATCATGGTAGCCACAGAGCCCTTGGGTGCCTCCTACACTGGTGGTAGGGGCCACTCATCCTTGTTTGTCAGACTGACCAGGAAGCAAAGTCTCCAGGTCCTGACAGCCCTTGCCTGGGAAATTCTGTACCTAACATTGTACTGTGCCACAGCGAGTAGACCT